AAATGTTGAAACATTTAACGGTGGCTTTAATTATTTAAATATAAGTTTATCTATTATTATATAAATCAAAGGGGCAGAAGGGATGTATGTAATTCATAGTCAGCTTAGGCTTTTTTTTATTGGTCCGATATCTTTTCTTTCTTTTTATTATAAATAGAACTTCCATACGTTAAAAAAAAATTTGGCAGCGCTTAACTTAACTTTAACTTAACGTCAACATTAATGTAAATGATGACGTTGACGTTAACTACTCTATATACACAACGCAATCATTTTTGTAACACTTGAAAATTCCTTTTTTAAACAAAATTCTATATGAAAAATGACCGAAAATCCCCTTTTTAAAGCTAAATACGTCGCACTAAATTAAATTCGTCATATTCTTTGTTTAAAAAAAAAATTAAATAAATTGTGTAGACATTTTATTTTGTTTGTAATTCTTCTGCCACTTAATCAAAATGAACAATTATTTACCCACCTGTTACAAAAAGATTCTTATCATCATCATTTACCAAGTATCAATCCTTTATCCATTTTCTTTGTACGATTTTTTATTGCACGACGATTACGTGAAAGCCACGCGTGCATTTATTTATATAGATGGAAGTGAAAAAAAAGTGTGGTGCAGGATGTAGAGGGTATGTATTTATCTCTAAATCTCGAGCTTGGGAATAAACGAGAGCTTACATTTAGAGAAGGTTGCACTTAGAGGAGTTAAAAAAATTTCATTCCAATTGATACTAGAATGTGTTTTTTTAAAGATGTTGAATGAATATAAAGTAACCTCGTTATTTTGAGCCCCTCCCGTCGGAATTCTAGTACTATTTTTATTTCTCCACTTCTAAATTTTCCAAACCAAATATTTGACATCATTATACTTGGATAAATTTGGGAGAGGGCTTGCTTCCATATCTCAGTGTTAAACAAACTATGAGACATTTACTGAATAAAATTGCATGTTTTTTTTCTTGTATGTGTGAATGATGATAAATAACCATTATCTATTCCACATATTGTTCTTTACTTGACGGATCCCTTCTATTTTGAATATTTTAATACATGGTTTATCAATTGAACTGATGATGTCAGAAACCAATAATTTTTGGGACAGGATGTTTAATTTTAACATCATTACAAAATTTCCCCCGGCAGCAAATGGGCCATGCTGACAAATATAACCAGGAAATTCGGTACTTTTCTGTTGTTGATAAAGCTTTAATCCATCATTCATGGTTTTATTATTATTATAGTGTAGCGCGAGATTCTAATTTGAAGGGAAATTTCGATGTTGAAACACCACAAATAGTTTTAGCATGCTATATACATATTATCGAAATTTACACCATTGATTATAAATAGAATCAACACTTTAATTTAAATTATATAAAATTCTTTGAAAATAATTAAATTTCTTTATTATTGTGATTTAAATTATACATGAATTTCACCATCCATTTCAGACGTGTTTCCATTTTCCCAAGATGTCCATGTCCCCAATGCTTTGGACAACAATTACAAGTTACATCCCGATATCCATACGTATCAGGGTCATTAGTTTTATAATTTGTTCTCTAGATTGACCTCCAGTTTGTCATTTGTACTTTCTGTCTTGATCCTACTGATTTGTTTTGGATGACATATATCCTTCAGAACATGTATTGGCCTGATATGATACATTTGAAATAAAGGTCTACGTATAAATATCACAAGACTATAATTTTGACTTTAGGCATGGGTTTTAGCAAACTGTTAGTTAAACTTCATTATAACATTTTACAATTGCAACAACTAACTGAATCTAAAATACTAAATTCCTAAACTATTTACCAAAATGTTAATAAGCTTGATTCTAGGAAATTATCCATTCGCTGCAATAAAGGTTTCAATTGAAAAAGAAAAATTAACACGAATAATATAAATATAGAATATGTCAAAGAATATATTCTTCCAATAGACAATAGTGATTTGTTAATAGGCAAGAAGATTATCCTTTTTTAATTGAAAATGAAGGTATTGTTTTTGAAGTGATAGAAATACTGATGGTTTACATGATTTGTCAGTTCTGCCCAGAGATTGTAAACGTCTGAAACGTTACAATAACATTATCCACAATTAGGAATAAGGTTTATTCAATGATTCGTAATTAATGAAATATTCGAACTTTTAAATATTGTTATCATCAATTGATAAATATTGGGATTTACCATCATAATTATCCTCAGTCTCTTCTCTTCTTGATTCACAATTAACGTCTATTTCTTCTATTTGTGATCAACTTCATAGTTTTGTTCTGTTTCTTCTCTAGAAAAAACTTTCCCGTTTGAGTTCAAAGAAAAGGCAAAATGGTTATTGGAATGAAAATTTAACCTAGTAAAAAAACCAGGAATCCTCTTCAACTAATGATTTTGATATTATAGTCGAAACATAGGAAATGCCAACTTGATGTTGATGATGAAATCTCAACATATTTGGCATTGAAAGTTAAAAAAGATGTTGAACCTTTAGTATGGTGGAATAAAAATTCCCCGTAATAAAGCTGAAGTATTTCTGCTATTTCTGCTTGTGCCTGCAGAAAGGTTATATTACACACCATAATAATGTTTGATTAAAACAATTGACATTTTTTAAATGTAATTAAAATTTTTAAAATTTAATAATTAAAATATTAATATCCATGTGCCAATTGCCATTATTACGAATGCGAGAAAATATTACATAATTGCTCGAAATGCTATTATGAATGCGAGATGATTGCTCGAAATGCTATTATGAATGCGAGAAATACTTGCATAATTACGAATGCTCGAAATGTTCGAAAATATTACAAATGTTTGAAAGTGTGAATCGATAGTATAAAAATATAATAATAAATCTATAATAATACATCTATAATAATACATACATATATCTGTGTTTAATAGTACTAAAATGTTATACATTCCATATGCCATGTACTTTTCTTATCATTTAAACGGTTGTTTAAATAATCAGTTCATGCCGATAATGGAAATTCCATTTGATGCAATAAATCATCATCTTGTAATTCATTATTAGTTGAATAATCAATACCCTCAATAATGAATATCTACCTTGACAAATCCTTTAATTGGTTGTTTAAATTATCAATTTGTGCTGATAATGGAAGTTCCTTTGAATGTAATAAATCATCATTTTGTAATTCATTATTAGTTTGATCTGTTAAATTAACAATATCTTCGATAATGTCAGCTATATCTACATTGCGCAAATCCTGCATGACTTGATGAATATGAGGACGGAGATCTGGTTTTCCTTGCCAACATGCTTTATAAAAAAATTAATTTTAATTAATTTTAATATTAGTATAAATTATTAAACAGTATTGTATTTAAAACACGTTTTTCAGGGCCAGTGATTATGTAACCACTAATAATTATTACCTGTATATATTTCTGCATATTTTTTTGGTGTTCCCTTGATTATTGCTTCACGTTCACCTAATATTATGGCAAGTGTTAGATCTTGGATTGACTCATATGTAAATGGTGCATGACCGCTTGAAATTTGCCACAAAAGAATTCCAATACTATAAATATCTGATTTTTCATTACGACTATAATTTTTAGTATTGTTTAAATATTGTGGATCCGAGTATTTTATTGAGCCTAATCTTTTAGAAACCTCTAGTGAAGGATCTAATAAGAATTTGGCAATTCCAAAATCACAAATTTTAATATTTCCATTATGAATGAGAATATTTTTGGAATGCTGTTTAAAATATAAATGTTGCTTACTATTAAAAATGTAAGAATAATTAAATATAAATAAGTAATGTTTATGCATACCAGATCTCTATGTACTATTTTATTTTCATGCAAATGATTTACAGCACTTGCAATTTGCTTTGCGAATTTTAATTTAACATTCCAATCCATTATATTAAAATTTGATTTTAAATAATTGGATAAATTACCATTATTTGCGTATTCTAATACAAATATGTAATTTTTTTTATGTTTTTCTTTAATGATATGTAAAAAACTTAAATTAATAAAGTATAATAAATATATTATTGTAAACCAACAATAATTTAATAATAAAAAGTCAACACACCCTCCCTTGTTATGCCATAAAATTTTAATATATTACTGTGGCGCTCTACTTTACGATGTTGTTTGGCCTTTAAAAAAAATCAATCGTAAATGTTTTTGTTAATATATATATACACACACAATGTATGATAAATTTATTAGATAAAAAAAAAAGATTTACCTCATTAAGAAATTGTTCAAAAGTATATCTTTGGTCGATATCAACAGATTTTAATGCAATAAGTCCTTGATAATGTTTTGAATATGCAGAATAGATTCTTCCAAACCCCCCATTATCAATTGATTGAATATTGTGAAAAGATTTATAATCATAAAATGGAATATGTTCCTTCTTAAGTTGATCTTTAAACCTTTTTTCCTCTTCTGACTCTACATTTAATCGCAATTTTAATATTAATCGCAATTTTAATTTTAAACGCAATTTTATTGTTTTTTTTTCTCCGCTTTGCATTTGAACAACTGTGATAAAATAGTCTTTTTAGAAAGCTCGGCGAATTTTAAGCACACGTTTTACAATAAATAATGTGGCCTTTAGAAAGCGACAAAGATTTTCTAAAGCACTTTTGCTTTTCTTTTAACAGCCGCGCATTTACAAGTAGTCGTCGTCTCTCGAAAAAATAAAACGTTAGTAAGGTTTTTGTTTATTAAAGAAGCAAAGATTTGTTAAGTGTAAACGTTTTTGTTTACGTTTTGTAAAAGAGTTTAAATGTGAACGTAAGAAATAAAAAATTTTTTTTGATCCTTTTTTTTTTTTTTTATACAGTTAATTTTATCGAATATTACATATACAGTTAATTTTTTTTTGAAAATTGATATAGAGGAAATTTAATGTCTTATATAATTTTTTTCCCCCTCAAAAAAAAAAAAAAGAGAGATAGTCATTCAATATTTAAATATGTTACATACATTAATAAACATCTCTTTTTGGTTTATTTTTTACAATAATCTATTGTTTATTATACTCTATCAAGAGAAAAAATTATTAGAATTTTTGGAATATGACCGTCCCTCACGTGATTAAACATGATTACGCGCGACATAAAAATTTAAAAATTTAAACTTTTCAAAGTAACCAAACATCTATTTATTATTATATTTCTTTTTTTTTTTGAATAAAACTAAATACAAACGCCTATTTATATTTTTTTCTTGAATAAATAATTAAATATTATACTTGAATCTTAAGTTTTATATAGCAATTTTAGGCAAGAATCCAGC